TTCATCTCTCTACATTTCTCTTTCATCTCTTTTTCCTGTCTTCTCTACCTTCTCTCATGATTTTTGTTCTTTTAGCCAAGAACATCACAAAAAACCCAAACAAACTCTAAACTGAAAAACAAACGAATATTGAAATAAAAGTATGCACGTAAGACAAAACCAGTACCTCTTTTGTCTCATCGGGGTCTGTGTGGTCCACTGTCAGTGAAAGGTCGTTCTGCAGGTATTTGAGTGCACTTAGAGGCTCTGACTGGGCTTTCTCCTCGAACCTGGCCAATCAAAAACACACTGATGGTAAACATTACATGTGTGCAATTGAGGCGGCAGTTACAACAAAAAAACACTAGATGGCAACAGATGCCAAGCAGAGAGGACCTCGGTACTCAGGTTTCCCATCATCACGTCTTATATTAAGATTTGTATCATGACATATTTTACTCCTTTGAAATTCACAATCTGTAAATTAATGTCAGTACAGACGTTGATTACAGTGCATCAGTAAAAGATAGTACATGTCAGAAGTGGTGGTTGGAGAAGCTGCTGGAATTTAAAAAAGTTACAGACCTGTATTTCCTGATGAGGTATCTGCAGTGGCGGAGCAGGTACTCCTTGGAGGGCCGACACAGTTTGAGGGACCAGAAGTCATCCAGGCGCATCTTGGGAGAACACGACTTCCCGGGGTTTCCACCAAACAGGTAATGCACCTAGAAACACAGAGGAAATACAGACAGTTAATACACTCTTAATACACACAAACCTAAAAACACAGGATACATACTAAACTAAATCCAAGAAAATGCATATTGCTAAACATGCACAACTTTTATTTTATCTTCAGTAAAATTGGATGGCTGTGCACTTTGAGTGTTGCATAATGTTTGATCTTCTTTCCACATTTACATCAAACCAACCCATAGTCAAGAGTTTGTTTTGATTAATGCGGCCACAATATACATTTGTGAAAGACTGCAGTTCCATCCAAACTTTTTTTTTTAACGTATGGGGCAATGTCAAATACTTTTTAAGTCAGTCCTTTTTTATGGATTCTTCTGATTTGATCATTTTTGCAAGAAATATTGGAGAAAACAACACTCTTTTACAAAAACTGTACTAGAAATTGCGATTTCAAAGAACGTGATTGGCTAATCGTGAAGACGGTGATTAAAATGTAGGTTAATTATACAGCGCGTCTGACCCGTTTTAAACAGTCATGCAGTTACAGATTAATTCTGTTCTCATCCTTATGTGACAGATCTGCTCACCAATCATAAGCGTCATGTGCCTCCTGTTACGGTCCTACTCACCAATCAGAGCGGACACAGGGTGTGTACATTTTACAACAAATGAAAGCTGAGGAAAACATGGGATAATAGCGCCAGACGAACCGACACCGTAGCGGCTGTGCCACTGCATTGTCCCACGTCAACTCACACTGAAGTTTTTCAGCAACAGAGCGTTTAGCCTACACGTTGTTGTTAATTTGTCATTTTGTTTGCTTCAACTACAGATAACAGCTCTCTGTGAGCCCGTTCCGTTCCGCTCTCTGCAGGCTAACATTAAAGCATTTCAGAATGAGAGCGTTTTGCCAGTCTGATTTTGCTGACTTGTTCAGATTTTGCTTATTTGTTCAGTTGTCCTTGTGCTTCTACCGTGGTTAAGTAGGCTACGTAGTTAAATTGTTTCTATTTTTTGTCTGTTTTAATGTTGATGTGCGATCTGCAAATGGTGTTTTATTTTTAAAATCAACCGGATTCTCTATGCCGTTCTGGGTACGACTTCCTGCTTGGTTCATCTGCTCTGTACTGCTTGACGTGGCTTCAGTCAAAAATAGACTGGCAGTGAATATTAAATTTTAGCATAACCTCAATAAAAAAGAAAATTGCAAATCTAATCATAATCACAATATCTGGCAGGAAAATTGCAATTACATTTTTTCCCCCCAAATCATTCAGACCTAAACTGTACTATATGGATAGTTGAATTTGTGTTTTTTCTTCTGATCTCAAATTTTAGGAGAATTTTTGTCTCAACTCCATCCTCTCCATAATTTTAACACTTCTCACTCTTAAATCACAAGGAGGCAGACTGTAAAGTGCCTCCCTCTTCTGACATTGTTTCTGCAGTGCTAATGAGAGAAAAACGTTAATTTATAGTGTTGATGTAACAGAAGACAGCTCTGATCAAAAGGGAAAGGCAGGTGTGTGAATAAACAGCTCACGAGGAGACGTGTTAACTCAGCGCAGCAGGAATACAAATCTGAGAAAGCTAAGCTGCAGCTCGCCTTCAAAAAATGTTTTGGAGTGTTACTATTTGAGTGTTTGTCACGAAATCTGTGTGATAGTGTACTAAATAAGAGTGTGTGTGTTACCTTGTGCAACTCATCATAGACCAGCTGGTGTGCAAAGCGTGGACACGGCTCCTCCTCCTGCAGAGCCTTGCTCGGGTTTTCTTTTACCGCCTGATCGTTCTTATATACACATGACCTGAGCAGGAACACACACAGCAAAATAAAGAGCAGGGGGAAGGAACTTTACATTAGTGACGAGGAAAAAAAACAAACAAAAAAAAAACCACACTTCTTGAAGCCCTCAAAGAAAAGCTGTTAAACAATTACAGCTCGTTGCACACACACACACACACACACACACACACACACACACACACAGCTGGCAAGTGTCTCACTGATTTATTTCACCGGACACTAAGTACAAGAACAGCCACTGAAATCAATGTACCGGAACAGTGAGGGCTGCAGCCTCACAGCCTGTTCTTTCACAACTACTGATACAAAACATGACGTGCACATACATGCACATTCATACACATTAACACAAAGAGAACATGTAGTTCCCTGGTGGAAGGCTGAGAGGTCAGGAGATGCTTTGAAATGCAACACTGTGCAGTGTTGACATTTGTATAAATATGTTGACGTGAGAGAGTGTGTGTGTTCTTTGCATGCATGCACTCCGTTATCTATTGTGGTGAAGATCGTAGCTACAAAGAGCTCGTGTGTGTGAAAGTATTTCCTGCGTGTGCACTCTCTTTTTGTTGCTGCGGTGTTGATCACAGAACACCCTGTGTGTTTATCTGTCATTCTCTCTCCTACCAGTTGTTGCGGGCAATGTCGTAGATCCAGAAGGAGTTGCGGACATTCTCCTCGCGTTTGTCCTTGTCTTTGCTGAGGCCCGACAGGACGTGGATCTCATTGAGCTCGGGGTCTATGGTTGCTCGCTGGGTAAAGCCCGTCATCGGCACTGTGGAGGCAAAAACAACAAATGAACAGGGAGGTCAACTGAGAAATAAAAACAAACATTCACTCTGCCAGCAGATCTGATTCAGCAGAGATAAGAATATGGCCAAGGTCAGACGTTATTCAGCTCAGTAACAAGCATGCAGGAAAATATTCAAACTCAGGCCTGGGATTGAGAAGGTCCTATAATAATAAAAAAACTTTCTTCTCCTCAAAATGAAATGTATGATAAAGAAAACTACTGCACAACACGCCGTCATGGCAACAAGGTCCAGCATAGATAGAGTTAACAGTATGCAAATGTAGCCAGGTGTGATGGAGAAACGCTGACACACACTGCTGCTCTCCTGTGATTACAGCAGGCCTGAGGAAGGCCAACAAAGGAACAACAAATGACATGAGAGAGCGTTTAAGTTACTGTGCAGGTCAGCAATTAGACCAATTCCAGCATTCCCAGGACTGAAAGCCTCTAATAAATTACAGATAGCATGTAAACAGTGTATGTGCGCAGGGCTCAAATGCTAATTATTAGCCATTGATTTGTTTATTAGAAACCTAATCCAGCCTCAACTTCTCTCTAATAAATAATATACCAATGGCTCAGCACAGCACGAACATGTTAAAGACTAGTGATTCCATTTTCAGCAGTCAAAGTGAAGTACTCCATATACTGTAGCATTTTACCTTTAGCATAAATAGTGCACACTGATGAGAAAGCACAATAACCAAGAAATTCTGTATGAAATTCATGATGAGCTGCAGGCAGCTCTGCACTGAGCTGACTCAGCATTAGAACTGCATCTCGGCTGGGAGAAACTGCTGCTGCTTTACATTCAGCAAAATGAGGAGAAATAAAAAATAATAATTTTTAAATTGTATTTTACATTAACAATTATTAATTACATTTGTGACACGATATTGATTTAATTTTTCGATGTATTTTCTATCAATATAATGCACAGTATATTGATATTGTTAGGGTTATAAGTCTGTCAAACATTTGACACAAAACCTTGTTTCCATAATTTGAACTGTTGGCCTCTTTATTTCACCAGTTCTTGCAAAGGGTTAATCTATTATACTGAACTTCAAATGTTACACTCAAGGCAAGTGTCTAATCCACTGCACCATCGCAACCTCTCTATAATAATTATTTTGTATTCATTTTTTACTAAACTTCAACAGCTAAATGTGCAACATGCATCTTGAAATAATTGAGTCTATAACTAAATAATATAATTACTAACTTTCAAATTAGTTCAGTAGAAGTTAATAGATTATTTTTAATGAATAAGAGACAGCAGCAAAGGTTGTTGAACGATCGCGACAGTTTCATGGGAACACGCCAGTTACACGGAAGCCGTTGCCGTGGTTACCTCGCGGAGCACTTGTTTGCCTGTCTGTTGATGAGGAGTGCAGAGCGACCCCGCGGGTCCAAGCCGACTGAAAAGGCCTTATATAAACCCTGTCACAACCATTCACAAGAAATTAATTTATAACGTGCCAAAACCTTTAACATAAGGACGACTTAAAAAGCAACCATTCATACAGCAAAGTGTAGGCTATAGGCTATATGAGTGATCAATTGACAACAAAGTCAAAGTAAACATTAGATAGACCTACCCTATAACAAGCAATAATCAAAACATCCCCAATTTATCTGATCCTTATTGTCAACTCAGTGTTGGAAAAATATAGTTATTGCCTACTAGTTAGCATAGCTTAAAAAAAGTAGTAGCTAACGTTACTCTACTTACTACTGGGTGATATAACGCCACTCTTTCCCCATGAGTCCAAGCATCACTGGCAGCAGCAACCGGAGTTTCTTTCTGAGTTTCACATTGCTGTGTTGCTTTAGCTGATGCTTCAATTAGCCTAAGTATAAATGTAGAATTGTTCACGGTCAGAAACTTTTTGCTGGTCGTGACAACATGTCATTAACTGCAGGGATATCACCTAAATCAGTTTAGTTTGACTAAAACTGCCAGCTGAGATAAGGACAGACGGCAGGGCGACAGACGTCAGATCTCCCACACAAAAGGCTGGGGTTACAGGTCAGCACATGAAGACTAACAGGACGACATGCTGCGGCAGTGTTGAGCCCGGCCTGAGCCACGGCACACATCAACATGTGACACTAATTATGAGAGAGAACTGTTTGGACTTGCTGCTTCCTTCCTGCCAAAATACACACTGTTCTTTCTCGCTGTCTCTCTTTACACAAATTCCAGTTTCTCTCAGATTCTCTCTCCCTGCCTGGCTCTGGCAGGACAGAGGTGAACGGTCAGCAGACAGAGGTCTATTTATACTGTGATTGAGGTGGAGCTGTGTTTCAGGGCAGGAAGTGCCTCACCTCAGCCGGAGCTTTTTAAGCAGCAACTCTGTCACCTCTCCACTGACAGAGGCAGAGAAGCCAACAAACACACAGAGCCCATTCCACTCTGGACGCAGCAGCAGAAATGGCTGCCATAATCACAGGTTGTTTATTTTGTCTGATAAAGCCATAGGTTTTAAAGGATAGGAGTTAAACAATACCCATGAGGCTACAGTGCAGCTACGTCAAAACACTCAACCACAGGAGTCAGGTGGTGGCAGAAATTCCTGGACGATGTCAGGTGTATTTTTTGTAAATTAGTTCTTGTTAATCTTACCCATTCCTGAGTCCTTCTTTGTGCCATCAGATATGATCTCTACATGGTCCCCATCCACATCATAGCTGAAGAAATCATTGAGGTAAGTCTTTGACCTCTGACCTCCAAACACGTACAGACAGCGGTTTCTCTATTAAAAGGAGAAGAGTGGTAGTGAGGTACAGGAAACACGGAATGGAAAAATAAAAAAGGAGAAATAGACAAGTAATGATTAAGATTCAACGTAACAGTACATGGTATTAATTGATAAGGCAGGATTACCTTCACAGCAATAGAAATAACCCAAAATGTGTATTCAGACAGGCAGACTGGACTCACAGTGTGGAAAAGCATGCAGTGTCCGATGCGGGACTGGACATCCTCTGGGCCAGCGTTACACGAGTCTTCCCGCAAGAGGCTCCAAGTTCCAGCCTGGCAGTGGTAGGCGTACAGGCCGCTGAACTGAGGCTCTGACGTCCGACTGTCCTCCACACTGCCGTTACATGTCAGGATGCGACCGCCAAACGTGTAGATCATGTGCTTCTCAGAGTCCATGCACATCTGCAGGAAGAGCAGGGAGCAGAGGACAAGAGATGGAGGAAACAGGAAGTGTGAGAGTTCAGAAAGGTTCCAGGAGGAAGCAAAAGGGCAGCAGGATGACTTTCGTATTTTCACTGTGTGTGTGAAAGGATTGAACAGAGGTATCGACTTTATTTACTTAATTCATGAATGCTGGTGCACTTTAAAATAAAAGAAAGTTTTTAGACAATATATGGGAGTGATGGCAACCTTGTAGAAGCAACACAATGCTTATCTAGTCTCTCTGTCAAGGTTTAGTTACAATTCTGGACTAATGGAAAGCAATGGACTAACATTAACTATTGATTAAATATTGAATTTAAAATTAATTGACTGGAATAATTACCAGACAGCAGTACTCAGTGTTTTATTTTCAACAATTTCTTATTTATGTTAATATTAATTTATCTTAAGATTGTATAGAAAGTTTTTTCTAATATTCTTTGTAGAGCTGTGCCATATGACGATATCTATGGTTTGACAGTAGAAAAACATCTATCGTTTACAATTATGCTCCATCGTTTATTTCGTTGTGTTGCAAATTCCACACTTTACAGTAATATTTAGTGAGGGGACGGCGCTTTGCACCGCAGTGAAGTTAGCTTCACGTTGGACTTCAACATTTGAATGAATGTCTAACGTAAAACTAATATCCAACTTGAAACTAACTTCACTGCAGCCCGTTCTTCCACACGTGCCGGTGTTGCAGAAAGAAATTTGCATTTAAAGTAATGGACGAGCCACACAACACTATCCAGCAGTGCCAGTCATGATGTGTGTGTCAGTCAGGAAACGTTAAATGACTTGCCCACGAATAAACAGCTTACTTTCTAGTTCGCCAAGACATGCTGTTGTTGTGATGTTAGCTGTAGCAGCAGGAGAGCTGTGCTGCTTGGCTGCTCTGGGACCGTCTCGTCCTCCCATGTTAGCTTTGCAGCAGCAAGTACCATGACATATGTTTGTCTTGGTATTGGATTTTTTTCAGAATCGCTTACGTTACCCCAGCTTTATACAGGAATCCTGAAGTGAAATTCAAAACCTTTTAAGGACCTTTTCAACATATTTTAAGACTGCCACGCCACTTTGAGCTGTAACCGATTAAAATCAGCCACACACACCTTTACAAGGGACATTTTTGAGGTTTTAAAAGGAATTTAAGTTTATTTATAACATATTTATTGCCTATATGTCATCAGGTTGTAACGCAACCTAAAAATTGAGGCATTCACCAACTTTCTCAGTTGCCTATAAACAGCCTGTATGAGCAAACAGTTTTCTATATGAAGGACTGGTCAGATTTCCTGCGAAAAGCAACTGTCTTACACAGGTTATGACGTTCATGTACACAATATTACAGCAAATCATGTGAAACAGTGTGATTTTGTGTTTTAGTTGGTTTAAACTAGATAATTTGAGCTTGCCTGCAATGATATGCGTGATAACTTTCATCGTCCACTTGATCAATACAACAAAATTCAAATAGGCCAGGAGGGAACAAAGATGAAGAGAATAAACTGAGTGATGAATAATGGAAGTAGTGTAGGCGGTGTAGCACAGGCACAGCCTGGAGGAGGAATTGATCTAAATGACTGTATTAGTATGACATTAAATTGAAAGTATATTGTTAATTTAATAGTTAACTAAAAGTTTGATATTAATATATTTATTATGTTACTAAATTCAATATAATTTCATATAATAGAATATAACTTACCACTAGTAGGCTAACGTTATAATATTAATTCAAATTACAGCTGATTCAGTTTGGGGTTGTTTTTTATTCATTAACTTTGTGCAAGAAAAATGCTCTAGGCTACATGATAGTCTCCAACCTTGATTTTGGGCAGGCTACTAACTCATCAATAATCATAACCGTTTATGCAGAACAATGAGTTCAACATTTATAAAGTTTGTTGCAGCACATCAAGCTTTTTTTTAAAATCCCGCTCCATCCAGGCTGAGATTGATTGACAAAAAGTGACACTGACGAGAGCATCAGCTTTATGAAAAGTTGAATTTGTTTCAATAAAAGGCAAAGATTTAGCTAAACAGCCAAACCCACACGCTCCTTGGATTTTCCCTGTTGTCTTCTGTCTTACCGATTCAGCTGCTGGCGGCGCATCTCGCTCTTGTTTTTCAGGAACGGGGCTGTTCAAAGTGGCCACAGAGCGACCGGCCAACCGGGTTACTCCAGTTACCACTGATCGCCACTTAGACTATGTTTTGGGGGGAGATTACGGGCAGTTGTATTCGTAAATCACTTTCCGGTTTGCATGGATCTATTTTTTGGAGCGTTTAAGAGTGAAATGGGCGCTCGGTAGATCCCTGCGCCTAACGTTACAGAAAGGAATCACAGTCGCTACTCTCTGCCGGTCTAGTATTTTTGGCTATGCATTATAAATAAATACGTTCACCTACACTTTTAGCAAACAAATTTTTGGACAAACGGGATTTTCACATTGAAAAAAATATCTTCAAAATTTAATACCTTGTTAAATGGCGATTAAGACTTTAATACTTAATTTTCGCAAAATTGATTTATTACCTTTTAAGACTTTTTAAGACCCCGCGGACACCCTGTTATAATGCAGAGAAATATCCCGAGTTACAGTTGGAAATGACATATTTCATACAAAAGATGTTCTCTATCAAAATATATTGTTATTGGGATTTGAAATGACCTTCTGCCATTCTGTTCTGTAATGGTCTACTTATTCTTAGACCAACAGATGGAGCAAACTGTTTAAAACTGTTTCATGTTGATTTAAGTAAATTTTGTGCTGGTGCTCCTAAAATTTGGAGCCCTTTGTAAAGGGGACATTACGTCTGTCACTCCAGTTATTAGCCTGCAGATAATGTTGGAGTCAATACATTCAAAGGCGGACGTACAGGACATGCCCTCTGGAAAATATAAACCCAACTTACATTTCATTTGGTAACACTCAGTATGTATAACTGTTTTTTTTAATGGCAGTAATCTTGTAATTTACATTTAAAAAGTATCCCAACACAGGTTATAGTGTAAGTGAATATCATATTCAACTGGGGGTTCAATACATCACACTTCGTTTTAGAAAAATTAGTTATTTTTCATATTGCCAATATGCTGATATTTGAGCGCCTTAACTCTTCCAGTAAGAATGATGGGCAATGAGCCACTGTTGAAAGTTTACATTCTTCAAAATAAGACTAATACAAGTTATCTCACTAAACTAAAAGATAATGGAAGTACATTCATCTGTTTCTTTTAAGTATGGATTGTTACAAATACGCAGTTTTAAAAGCATCAAGCAGTCACACAGTGAGAAAACATAAAACCATGAACAGAAAAACTGTTGTTTTATGATGGCATCCTAGCCCTCTGGATCAGATCTAATCATAAGGTGCCTAGAGATTCCCATCCCTATATTCAGTACTATCCTACACTCAACACTGGACCTGAAAGCAGGGGGCGTTGCCTAAATTCTAAATTCTGAAAAGAATTTCAAATACAAAATGACTTTGTGACTCAATGTGTTTGAATACTGAAGGTGCATACTTCTTTATTATGCCATACACTAAGTTACCTGTTTATCACATCCACCTACCTCAAACTGAACATGAAAGGTATAATCTTCAGGGTTTTTTTTAGCTTTATGCTCATTTGAGGCTGCGGTTTGTGGTGCTGTTGAATTTCACAGCTTTATACCAAGAGGTGTTTCTAATATTTTGTGTACCCCATTTATATCGTTGATGGTAGACTATATTAGTCTATTTCACAAATGTATGGGCCAGGTTTGAAATGACTCATCACAGTTGATCAACCACAGCTAAACATTCAGCTAGTGTGTAAAGACATACGAGAGGGAGGGAGGTACAAACAGGAAGTGATTCCACCTACCTGGTGGTCAAACACCAACTTTGGCCCTCCATCAGCTGATGTGTCCTCACTGAGTAGCGTCCAGGTGTTGGCGTCGATGTCGTAGCGGTAGAAGTCGCTCTTCAGAGACTTGCTGTTCCGGACGCTGGAGTCCAGGTACCGGCCCAGCGTGTAGATCTGACGTCGCTGAGAGTCAATACACATCTTGTGGCACGAACGGGCACTCGGACCACTCTGATTGGTACAAAGGAGCCAGAAAACTATTATATTATATAAAATTACTTTTTTATATATAAAATTAGTTTCTTAAAGCAATAATGAGTCGTGATGAGTGGTGTCCGCTATAGTTGAGAACCACCAATATGTTTAAACAGGACATAGAAGAATTATTCACAAATATTGATCGTCAAACCAACAATTTCAGGCACTAGTGAAGACTATAAATCATCATAACTAGACTTCAACTCCAAACACGAATAAAAACAAAAAGGTTTTATTAAAAGCTTTCTCATTAAACACCTAATATGTCATCTGCTTTTCTTTAAGTGTTAGTTCAAAGACGAATTCTGTGTCCGAACTGTGTTCAGTGGTTAGGAGAAAGAATGGGGGGAAAGTGGGTTCACTAAATCCATCCATCGGGCGAGAAGCGGGGTACACCCTGGACAGGTCACAAATCCAATTTAGACTCTACATGAAGACATTAATTAATTAATTTAAAATGAAATTTTTGTGGTACATCTTCTGAACAAGGGCTGTGTGCACGTCTCTGTGAATTGAGCATTATGATACTTTACAGTATTAATACAGCAAATAGACCTGCTTTATTATCAAAAAAAAACCCCATGGAATTCTGCAAAGGGAGCCTTTAACAAAATACAACCATACAAAGATAAACTGAATTGTGAAAGTTTGAGTGAAAGTTAGAGGTCTTGACAAGGATTCCTGCAACTTTTTAATCATTTTAATACATACAGCTTTATTACCAAGTAGACAAAATGTTTTCCAACCCCACTCACCTCTTTCTCAGTGTCTCTGGAGATGCAGGCCCACTGGTTCTCCTGAACACTGTAAGCCCAGAAGTCAGCCAGATCCTGTGTGCCGTCCCAGCCCCCAAACAGATACACAGTCTCTGCAGGGAAAAATCAGCAACACCACAACATTAACCATCGTCTCTTCATGTGCATTCTGCTTTGGAAAGCACAGCTGAACGCAAGCGCTCTACCATCCCTCCACTCAGTACAAACACATTCAAGCAGATACTGTGAATAATCAGATTAAGGTAAACAAAGGATTTAAAGTTCCCCATGGTGAGGTGAACTGACATGGAGTCTTT